CAATCACTCTAAGTCTTATGACAGCCTCAAAACAACTTTAGTCCAACAAAAACAACAACAACAAAGCTCTTGCAGTAAAAACCTGAGCTATCAAGACAGTTGTGTCCAGTTTAAAATTTTATTCAGAGACGCGTTTGAAAAACATTTTGTGACATTGTAATGCTCCCTTCATCTCATTCCTCCACTGGAAGCTTGAATACTTGGGAGGTGTTGGGCTACGCCCGGGCCGCCAGCCATTTTGGGAAAGTACCTCAGCCATTTTAAACTTGCTTCGGGCTGATTCTGGGAAACCGAAACCTAAGCGGAGAACTCAAAACTTAAAAGAACTAACTTCCGGGGTACGGTGACTCTGCACTTTTTTCCCGCCTGCCCTGTCCTCACCCCTCCTCCCGGGTAGCAGTGTGTCAACTCCCTATTGGATAAGAGCTCCCCCGCCCCTGGTACCTTATAAAAACCCCTGCTTGCTGTAATAAACAGAGTTCCGGCTTTGACCGCTCTCCTGGCTCGGTGTTCTTTCTTTGTCCCCGGGGCCGAAGCGCAGAGGGGATCGGGCCTGCGACACTCATCATCCCGCTCAGCCCCACAAGAGGTTACTGCCGGCTGGTCCGGGGTCCCTTCCCGCCCTGTGTTGTTGGTCCCCGGTGGCGAGGAACCAACAAGAAACCTTGCCTTTGTTAGTCAATATATGCTGTTTTGGTTATCTATTGCTGTGTAGCAAACCACCCCAAAATTTAGTGGCTGAAAACAATTAATTATAATCTTTCTTACTTCTTCATGTTGACTGGGCTCAGCTGGGTAGTCTTCTGCTGATCTTGCTTGGAGTCTCTCATATGTGGTTGCAGTCAGATAGCAGTTGGGGCTGGAGTACTCTGGGGGCTTGACTAGGTGGGTTGGAAAGTCCAAGACGGCTTCTTCATTCACATATCTGGTGCCTTGGTTCATATAGCCTCTCTTTCCACTTGGTTAGACTTAGAGTCTCATCCTCCATGGCTTCTCCCCATGGCCTCTCTGTCCATCAATAGAAGCTGACTTTCAAGAGTATAAAATTAAAAGCTGTCAGGCCTTTTTCAGTCTTAGGCTGAGACCTGGCATAGTATCACTTCTGGCCTTATTCCAAAGCAAGTTGCAGGGACAGCCTTGGGTCACCGTGGGGGTACTGCACAAGAGCCTCAGTATCAGGAAGGGTGGTTTACTGAGAGCCATCTTTGGAAACTTGCTATCCAACATGCTGGACAAAGTAGAATTTCAACTATAATTCCAAAACAGTCTGAATATTTTCCAGCTCCAACACGAAGTACAAGAGAGGGGAAGTGATAGTAAGAGGAAGAAGGCTCAAAGTGATGGAGGATTATGAAACAGTTGGTACTTTCTTGGGCCTTGCAACTTGGCAAATTAGAGTACAGAGAAGAAGGTGGAACAAATGGATCAGTGAATCATCATTATCTAAACTTTGTGTACTTACAAGGCTTACTTGAAGGTGCTTATTTTTTATGACAACTCTCTCTGGAGCAAGGTATCACAATTCTGACATATCTCAAGCATGTATGGAGTACTGTCTTGCTAAAGACAGCGAAGAATTCAGACATCAATGAAAAGGTACAAGGGTGAGTAGAATGTCAAACCAATTGGGGGAAAAATAAAATAGTAGCTAGGAAAGCCTGGCAGTAAAAAAGGCTCCCATGGTACCAGGCAGCACCTCCAAACAAAACAAGACAAAACAAAACAAAAACAAAACCCCAGTACCTCCTCTTTTCTGTTCCCCTGGAGCTTTTCAACATGCAGTGTCTACGTCCCTCTAGCACAACATGCAAGTTTAAGGCAAGGGCCTGGGATTTCACACGAAGACAATGGCCCTTCAGTATCTACAAAGACTGAGAACCTCCCTGACATGGGTGGTCTGAGACTGGGGTTCCCTTTTCTGGTGTTGAAACACCATTCAATGCCAACAGCTTTTCCTTAGTGTTTATTTTTCTTAAACATGTTCAGACTCTTATCATATTGCTCCCTTCCCTTTGAAAATATTTACTCTGGAGGTGCCTGAAATAATATATTTCCAGCAAATTGCAGTTTTGTAATAATAAAGGTTATTTCATTCCATCTAAACTCAATGGAAATTTTGATGCTTAACAAAGAAATACTAAATACTTTAAAAACCCCTTGTAGGCAGTAGCCCTGTCATATATGACTTTGGTATCTCCTATTTCCTGGGCTCATTGTTTACCTTCTCTGATGTAGTAGTTTTAATAAGTAACTTGAATTGTTAACAGTATACTCTTGTTTCCTTCTTTGACACAGAAATGTCATTTCTTTATTATGTCTCTGCATCTTTCATGTCAGGTTCTTTGTAAACACTTTCTCCTAAGCTTGTTTTCAGTGTGTAGATCATTTTGGAGGTATGCACATAACAGTTGAAAGGATTTAACAAAAGTCGAAGTTTGCTTCAGTTACAAATAATTAAAGTTTTACTTATCTCAAGGAATATTTGAACATATACATTCATACATAAATTCTGGGAGTGTCAAATTATGCAACCAAGAGAAAGTGAGTTCTTTCCAGTTTTTCCGGCTTTGCGGCCCGCTCCCCCACCCCGTCAGGTTTTCTAACAAACTGTTAAAAAATACTGCTGCTGCTATCTCCTTTATTTGGTTTTCAATACTTCCAAGAAGCTAGAAACTAAAAACCAGGCTTGTTAAGGACTTAGAAAGTTAATGTACAAAAGAAAAAACAAAACAAAACAAAACCATTTATCTACCCTCTTTTAAATCTTGTAAATGAGTTCACAGTATTCCTGTTTTCAAATACTGTAAGTTATCTATGGGCAATAACTTTTAAATAATTGTTTTAAATGTAAGACATAATAAATACTTATTGTAGATTTAAAACAAAGTAAGGGAGAAAGGTAAGACTCATTCATGATCTTACAACTATTAAATACAACGCACTTCAAAAATTTCCATGAACTTTTTGAAGTACCTTCGTATTGGTGACCATCCTTCCATTTTTTTTTTCTAGGCACATGTTGTTTACAAGACGGGCCCTACTATATAATTTTATAACTTGGTCTCCCCTTCCATATTGTGAGTATATGAAAAAGAAATCTGTAAAGATCAGAGTAATTACACCCTGTCCAAGGACGCCACCTGTGGTGTGGTGCGCGCTTTGGTGGGAAGAGAAAGCTCTTGGTTTTCCCGTTTTCGTCCAGCTCTTCGTGGGCAACACTAACCAATCTCCGACCCAAAGAGACTTCGTTTGCCCTTGGCGACCAGCGCCTAGAGTCCGAGCGCGAGGGACCAGGCGGAGGGCGTTAGAGGTGACTCCGAGCACGAGCTCCCGGCGCGGTCCGTTTCTCCCCCGCGCAGGGCCCACTGGCACCAGCCCCGGAGGGAACCGAAGGCTAAAGGGCAGTTGGCGGTGCACAGGGCCTGGGTCCAAGCCTTTAGCCCCGGCCACCTAGCTGGCGCCACTCTCGGGCGGTGCGGTAAGATAAAGGGGGCAAGGTTCTGTGACTCCAAATGAGGGAGACGCAGCTCGGATACCAGCGCCTTTATGGAGTCTCCGGGTGTGTTTGTTCCAACTGTTTAAATTGTTTCAAAGCGCCCGAACCCCGCGACCTTCGGCAAACAACTCCTAATCTCTCGGGCGGGGGAAGGCAAACTGAGCGCGGGGCCTCCTCTCGGCACCCCTCCCGCCGAGACCCCCGCCCGCCGTCCCTTCCCGCTCCCGGCCGCGAACTTCTTGCGTCAGCCCGGGC